ATGCTCACGGCTGAGGGCACAGCCAGGCTGGGCAGGGCTCCCGGCCCCCAGGAGACTCCCTTCCTGCCAGGCCTCTTGGCCTCCAAAGACCTGGCCTTCTTCATCACAGACTCACGAGACTGGGGTCTGTTTGTCTGCAGCAGCAGGAAGCACGTAGGGAAGAGCCTGAGGAGGGCTCCTCCAGACCTCGCAGTGGCAGCGCTGGAGGGGCCATGGTATCAACAGCCCAGCGGTCAGGGACCCTGACACTGCAGGACGAGGCTTGTGTGCATGCTCTGTGGGAAAGGGTGCTGGCCCACAGCCTGCACCAGGCTCCTGACCTTTGAGAACCGGTGGAGTAGTCTCAGTGCTGGCGACACAGAGGACGTGGCCGAGCCTCCCGGCCCCAGGGCCAGGGCCAGCTCAGGGGAGGACAACCCCGAGAAGATGATGGGTCTTCTGCAGGGAAAGCCCCATTCAGGAGGGTCCCCTCTCTGCCGCAACACGGGAGGTTCCTCCAGACAGCTAACTAGACACCCTAACTTTTCTGGCATTTAATACTCACCCATACCCCTCTATGCATTTCTTATTCACCCCTGCCCCTCTGTGCATTTCGTACTCACCTCTGCCCCTCTGTGCATTTAATACTCACCCCTACCCCTCTATGCATTTAATACTCACCCCTACCCCTCTATGCATTTAATAATCACCCCTGCCCCTCTTTGCATTTCCTACTCACCCCTGCCCCTCTGTGCATTTCCTACTCACCCCTGCCCCTCTATGCATTTAATACCTCTTTGCTGAGATGGGGTGGGGGAGATGAGACTAATGCCTCAAATGGCAGGAGGCTCTGGCTCCCACATCCCCATGCTGAGAGCCTTTGGCCCCTCATGCTAGAGGCATGCCTGCCCTACAAGGCCTCATCTCCCCACCCCTAGCTGTGGCAGGCCGGCCACCTGGAGGCCACCCGTTGCTGCCCCTTCTCAGGAGGGGTCCCTGAGCTGGGGCATGAGGGGGCCTCCGGGGGGGGG